CTCCTGAGCAGAGGAAGCTCAGACCAGGGTTCCCGCCTGCTCTCCTTCCTGCAGCAGACAACTTCTGTTATGTGGGCTGGCTGGCAGCACAGCGAGGGTCCAGATGTGCTGCAGTACCTTCTGGATATGGCCTCCAAGGGTGGGAGAGAGCCCTACACAGCCAGAGCAGCCCTTCTGCCCTTTGCTGGATGCCAGAAGGGAGATTTTTTTTCTCTCCTTTTGGCATCTGCTCTATCCTTGACTCTACAGCTGGGGAGGGAAGAGCTTTGCTGTGGCATTTTACTCCAGGGTTCAAATCTGAACTAAAAAAAAGAAAAAAAAAAAGCCCAACATAAAACCCAGCCAAAAGGTTTCTGTAGCTTTAAGGAGAACAGCTTAAGTGTGAGCCAAGTGTGCCCACGAAACAATTTCTGCCTGAGTTTTCAGGCAGCCTCTGCTTCAGCTGGAAGGAATGGCAGTTTTCAAGCCTTTTGGTGCAAATGTGTGCTTTGCCTATAATTTGGAAAGCATTGTTCCGCAGTACCTCTAGCCGGTCCAGCTTGAATATGCCTGCGGGGTTCTTCATTACACAGTGCAGCCTGACTTCCCAATACTGCTAACACACCGTCTGCTGCTGTTCTTTACACAGACCACATTGCCTTAATCTGTGGTGTCAGCCATTCTCCCTACATCTTTCCAGCTGTCAAGAATTTTGTCACCTTTGCATCAGTCCAGGACTCCAGTATCCCCTGGTTAACTCCTGCTGGCCAGAGCTAAAGCATCATGTTGAGAAATTCCCATGGTTTTGGTCCATCATCTGCACCTGCTGAAGTTTTAAGGTGGACAGTCCCCATGTGAGGTGCCATATCCCTTGCCCGCTGCACAGTGAATCCTGAAATCAGCTCCCCTGGTCACTGCAAATCCTGGGTGCTTCCATGGGAGTGATGAACCATCAGGGCCTATTGTCCTTTTGTCACATCTACCCTTTTGGAGCTCAGAGGTGAAGGGATGCAGTAGTGGTGATACTGCAGTTGCTCCCCATCTGCTGACCCTGCCCCAAAATGAGTAGTCTAAAATCACAGTCCACCTAAAAGCACTGAAAATGTGTTTCAGAGGAGGTATTGGCTGGTCTAGATCCAGAAAGCATTGCTGCCTGCCTTGCTTCTCCCCATTAAGTCAGGCCTGACTTCTCTGCCATCCTCAATAGTTTAGTACTTCAGAGACCTCCAGCTCATTTTCTCTTGACTTTGCAGGCTCCAGATGCCCCAGGGAACAAACAGCACTATGTGTGCTGGTCAAGCCAAGCACTACCAACTGTGCCAGCAGCAGGTGAGAACCACTTCCAGTACTCTTTGTCTTCACTGGGGGATGCAGGATTCAGGGGGTCACATTTGGAGCTGCAAGAGCACCAGTATGCAGGGTGCAACTGGTCTGTCAGAGGAGTGCAGACAAGGGGTACAGTCCACTCCTGGAGTGGTTGGTGGTGTGCCTTTGAAGATATGGGAGATGGGCTCTGCTCTCTGGGACCGAGAGATGGGGCAAAAGGACATAAAAATGTATTTGTTGTGGGACAGGGGGGAGAGATGACATTTTTCCAGTATGCTTTTCCCTTCACTAGATATAATTTTTGCAGGACTGTTAGATATAGCTGTCAGAGGGGCCCTTGGCCATGGAGGCCTGGCCTTTCTGCCTGTATTATGGCACAGGACAGGGCATTTTCATCCTCAGGATGCAGCAGGGACAAGCAGCTGTCACACCCATGGCTGTGACATAGGGAGCTTTTGATTGCATTTATTCCCTCTGTAGCCCTGCCCAGCTAACACGGCAAGCTTCAAACAGCAGCAGTGCTCCAGTTTCAATGCCAAAGCCTTTGGGAAGCGCTACTACCACTGGATGCCCCTCTATCCAGGTGGGTTTTCACAGCTTTGTGCAAAGGATCAGGGTGAGAAAACACCCACAAGTTCTTCTCAGGCACAGTAGAAGGGGAAGGTCCCAGGGGAACAAGGGATGGATGCTCCTGGCTGGTCTGGAAGCGCTTCCCTATGCTCCCTGCTTTGGAGAAATCGTTCCCTGTCTCTTCACAGAACCGCTCCACCCAGCCAGGCCTCCTCTCTCACCACATTGCTCCTGTTTTGTATCCTACATCAGCAAGCACTGGTGGGCAGACAGGACACAGGCTGAGTTGTCTTGGCTAACCAGCAGTCATCTTGGCAGAGTGGGTGTTCATGCTCTTTGTGCCTTCTACCATTCTGGCTGCCTCTGTCACCTGGCATGCTTCCCACAGGGTTGGTGGTGGGTTGTTCTGAACAGGATGCCCATCCTTTTCTGCACAGGCGAGACAAATTGCTTCGCATGGGTTGCCAGATGGCCCTTGAAGCTCAGATTCAGCTTACCTAAGATATTACTTTTTTTCTGGACCCACCTGTTTTTTCTCTTTTCATTAGCTGCCAAGGGGACAAAACATCTGCACCTCTAGGTTCAGTTGCTCAGCTGTATGGGGTGTGGCTGGCCACAACCCCACACAGTCAGTACCTCTTACAGGTCTTCCTTGCTTTTGTGCATTTATGTGTGGCCTGGGATCTGCTGATACAGATTCCCCTGTCTGGCACTGGGCAGGGCACTGCAAAGGGGAGAGGTTATGGCAAGGACGAGGGTTTGCCAGCAGGAAGCATTTCTGCTAGGCACGGTCCCCAGATGCAGCCTCATACCATGACCCTTTACCATGACAAAATCTGTAGCCTTGGGGTGTCATCTCAAGCAGCAAGAACATCCAAGGTGGTATCAAACCATCAGTATGGATAAGAGGAAAGTCACCTTCCTCGCTGCCCATCTCTGAGCACCTTGATCTGCTTGGTGACTTTCTGCCTCTGTCCCTTCAGATGACTACACCAGTATCTCCAACAAGCCGTGTGACCTCCAGTGCACCACTCGGAGTGGGGAGAGGCAGCTGATGGCCCGAGCGCAGGATGGTACCTCCTGCAAGGACAGGACCTATCAAGGGGTCTGCATCAATGGGAAGTGTGAGGTGAGGCTCTGGAGGGAAGGAATACAGAAGTTGGGAGTGTAAGTGCATGGCTGGACTTCCTGGTCATCGCAAGGCTGGGGTCCCAGCAGGGAACTGAAACCGAGGTCTGGAGTGGAGTAATTACCTTCACTCTTGAATGCCTGTGGGCTAGAGCAGAGCAGAGGGATTCACACAAAAGGAATTAGGTACATCCATATATTCCCACTGAGTGACAGCACTTTCCTCCCAGCACAGAGAAGACTAGAATTGGAAGGTTTTTTTCACAGTCATCCAATATATTAAAAAAAAAAAAAATATATATTACATTTAATTTTTCCCTCCAATGGCAAAGATAAAGGGTGGTTGAATGTAGTGTTACAGAGACGTACCTTACAACCACAGGCAGGCCTGCCTTTAGTGCAGCAGCTCCCGGAGGATGATGTTGTACATCACTACATCAGCGAGGAGAACTGGCCTAAATGCAGAGTCAGAAAGAACCGAAACGGCTCACCCCAGTCTTACTCCATTCATGTAGACACACAAGCCCCTGCCCCAGGTTCAGGGGCACAGTGTAGATGGTCACAGGTTACACAGGTGAATTTCTACTGCTGCTGGATCCATTCATTCATCACTCCCCTCCAAGCAACATCCACACCCAGAACCTCACCGAAAGAGCATGGTAGTATTTCCTTGAAAAGACTCTGACCTATGGAGATAAGCTGGTCCCAGAAAACCCTCTCTTGTTTTATTCTTTGCAGCCAGTTGGGTGCGATGGGAGCCTGTACTCACCCCGGACAATGGACAGATGCAGGGTGTGTGGAGGGGACGGCAGCACTTGCCATCGTGTCTCGGGCAGCTTCCGAAAGGCAATCTCACAGATAGGTACTCCCTGCTACCACAGTCCGGAGTCTTCACCTGCTACTTCTTACCACCAGCTGGCATGAAGGGTGACTGGCTTGAATGCGGGTAGGAGTTTCCCAGCTGCGTGATGGAAAGAGCTGAAGAGTGCCCCACCTGTTTAAATGCCTGTATTTTGCCCTTTTCACTTAATCATCAGAGATTGGTTTGATGTGCTGTATATTAGGCTGGTAAGATTTCCCTTCACCTTTTTACAGGAGGAAGCAGCTGGGGATCTATTTGTTCCTATTGATTTTGGCATCTTGCCCACCTCAGATAATGTGAAGAGATCAATGAATCTTATTTTATTTGTGCTACGTGTTCATTTGAAACTTAAGCTCCTATGATGAGGGTCACAGTGTTTGTTTCAGCCTGCACTGGGGCTCCTGCTTTCCCCAGTCCTGTGGCTGTCACAGCTGAGGGACAGTCCCTCTGAAACTGGGCTGAGATTCATCCCTTGCAAATTAATGGCCCATTCCTCCACCCACAGAAGGAACAGACTGTGGTATGCTCATTAGTAATTAATTAACTGTGGTTTAAGGATGTTTTGGAACATCATTTCACACTGTTATTGTTTCACTAGTCTGCCTCACTCTCTACAGACACCAGACTAGAGAAGCGCTCAGGCCCCTTTCCAGAGCAGTACCCCCTTTAGCCGTATCGATACAGCTTTGGCCTCCCATTCCTGTCCTCGTAAGATCTTACAGAACAGACAAGACCTGCATGTCTAGCAGGAAAGGCACGCTGCCAAACCAAGTAACTTTAAGAGCCTTCTTATTTCCTCTCCCTTTGAAGGTCAATTTTTGTGCTACTCCTGAGACAAATTCTGTTGAGTCAGGAGCTGAGGGGACCTATGGTCTTTTCCATCCTCTGTTCATCATCAGCCCTGATCGCTAGTAAGCTTTTTCTATGCTCTTGCCAGAAACAGCATGAGAGCACGTTCATCCACACACCTAAAGCTGCTGTTACACTTCTGCTGTTCCTTCCTGACTCCAAACCCAGCAGTGCTCAGACTGAGCCTTAGAGACTTGTAATGGTGACCTGTAGTGGGATGTCAGAGGGGAGCTGGGATTAGAGCTCACAGACTGGAACAACATGCGTTTATGTCCTTAGCGTCATGTCCACGAAGGGCAGCACTGCCCTCCTACGTATGCACTTGTACCATGAGCTGCTTTTTCCTACCCAACCCTTCTTCTTCTATCCTCAGGGCTTCCTCACCCTCTGTTCTGTTCCTCAGGTTACGTGTTCATCACCAACATCCCTGCCGGTGCCACAGACATCCTCATCATTGAGCGCAGGAAAACAGAAAACATCCTGGGTAAGCAGAGGAACTGGATGGATTCAGAGATCTCAGTTCAGCTGCCTGGGAGGTGGGAGGAGGGCTCTGTGCACTCCCAGCTGTGCTGCAAGAGAGCTGTTGGTGAACATTTCCTCCAGGATAGCACAGGGACACTTCATCTCTTCATAAACCAAGGCTACCACACCTCCAGCAGCAGGAGGGACATTTGGAAACCAAGATTGCTATGGGCAGTCCCTGTTGTGAAGACGTTTGTGCTCTTGTAGGAGAGGGAAATGCAAGCAGCAGGCATTGAACACCACTGATCTGATCTGGTCTGATGCGGAAGATAAATGCTGGAGGGCCTGTGGTTCTTTTTCTGTCGGGCTTTTCTTGGGTATGAGCTGTTTGGTCTCCTCAGTGACAGCGCAGCCCCGGTGTTCTGCATGGAGTATCACATTTGTCCCTTTTCTCTCTCTTTGAAGCACTCGCAGATGAATCCGGGCATTTCTTCTTCAACGGCAACTCCATCATTGACAACCCCCAGAACTTCAGGGTAGCTGGCACAATCTTCAAGTACCGGCGGCCCTCAAGCCTGAACTCGGGCGGGCTGGAGTATATCATAGCTCATGGGCCCACTAACCAGTCTCTGAACGCCATGGTATGTGAGGAGCTAGTTTTAGGCTTTTCTGTATTGCCTGTCCCAAAATTGTGAGCCTCCCTCAGACAAAGGGAATATTAACCTGGTTCCCAAGCCAAACCTGGGTGTGTAGATGGCTGAAGAAGCCAGATGTTGTCTTGCGGGGAGGAGATTCCTCTTGAATTTATGCAGATGCTGTCTTCTCTTAACATCCATCACAAAATGGATGTGTCTAGAAAGAGGTCTGTGGGAAATAGATGTCCTTAAAATAAAAATGGCTTTGTTTTCTTTCCCTGTTTCCTCCAGTACTATAATTTTAATGGGAAAATGCCACACATAACTTATGACTACACTGTACCCCGGACACCACCTCTCCGCACTGCGGCCCCTGCTGTAGACAGACCTTTCTATCATCACCTGGCAGAGACCAGCCAGAACCATCCCATTCCAGCCAACTCCAGAGCTGCCCAGGATTTCAATGCCACATGGCTCTCCCTGTCACCAGATGACACCAGCGAACAGCTTCCTCTAAGAGAAGGGCATGAAGATTTAGGCTTCAGCCACCCGCACTTCTTCCAAACCAACTCCACCAGTCAGACTCGAGACTGGGGCTGGGAACAAGGTGAAGAGAAGTATGACTTCCAGATAAGACAGGTCTACCATGCAAACACAGCAGGAGAGGAAGAGGAGGAAGAAGCAACAGCAATTGGTGGAGAAACAGAACTGGGTTAGTTGCTTTGTTTTTCCTTCTCTCCCATTTATTGATTGAAAGCAGACATCCCACACTGGTCTTGAAATCTAAGGTGGCTTTACCATCGAGGTGGACAGGAGGGAACGATGATCAGTAGTAGGGTGGAGACTGTTGGGGAGCAGTCGGGACCAGTAACCCTGTAAGGGAAGGGGAGCTGGGAGAGGGTGGCCACACTACAGATCAGGCAGGGCAGTCCCACAGCACCTGAGCTTGGCAAGCAGGGCAGTGACAGCAACAGGTCCTAGCAACAGTCCAGTGATCATCAGGTGAAAGCAAGGTGAAGTCAAGTCTGAGGTCAATCTGGGAAAGCCCAACAATAATTCAGGGACAGAGTACGCTTGCAGCATTGCTCAGGCGAGGACTGAAAGCCCAGGCCTGAACTTAAATGGAGCTCCTGAGACATGGGCAGAGAAGGTTGGTCAGGGCAACTGAGGCCTGTTGGTGCACCCTGGTGGCAATTTATGATTTTTGAGGCCAAATACTGAATGGTTTTTGCCTTATTAAATACCACGTACTGAAGTATAAGCCATCCAAAACAGTTAAAGCATCCCTGTATTTTTCTTCTAGCTCTCAGGTTCAATCAGATTTCAATCAGCACAGCTGTACCCTACAGCATGAGGAGACCTGAGCTTTCGGAGATGAACCGCATAGCATCCTCCAGGCTTCGCCTTTTCAGGCAACTGTGTCACCGAGACCCACACAACACTGCCTTCTGTAGGGAGCTGCAGCACCTGGCAGCCAGGCTGGCCCCGAGGAACTCCACAGCAGGACTATGGCCCCAGACAGCTGCCCGGTGGCCACAGGGCCTCCACAAAGCGCTGGCCCGTAAGAACTTGCTGGAGAACTTTGCTGGGAGTAAGGGGGAACCAGCCAACTACAGCATCATGGCATCTGTGGAGAGCCCTCTGCAAGGTGCCAGCCCAACCACGGACATCAGCCAGGCAGAGCCTCTGCAAGCCCCTGGCACTGAAAGGTGGCTCTTGGTTTCCTGGGCAAAACTGGAGCATGGTTAGCTGGGGAGGGGGGGGTCAAGCCAATCCTCTGGTAGCCTCGCTGCTGTCCTCGATGTCACCATTCACCACTGTCTATCCATGGCAGAGGCTGTAGATGCTTGACCAATGTGGGTCCTCCAAAGACTGATTGTCACAACTGGCTTGACACGGAGCTCCCAGAATGTATTTCAGGTCCTCCTGCCTCTAAGGGATCCATTTAAATAGGTGCTGAAGGACCTGCGAGGCCAACACTGATGTGATTGCAAAGGCGGCCAGGAATTCATAGCATGTCACATACATATTTACCACCACGTCGTGCCCCTTCTGTCCCATTCCTCTGGGCACATAAGCTTCTGTAACTTCAATAAATGTTTGGGCCAACTTCTAAACATTTCTGGTGAGCCACATGTGAACCCTCCCCACTACATATGATACGAAGAGAGACCTTGTCTGAGCTCTTCTTTCCAACCTAAGGTCATACCTCTCAAGGTGACAGTATGAACTGAGGCTGAGGGCATGCACGTGGCTGAAAGACCATAATATACACAAGACTCACCATGAATAATGCCTCCTCTCAAAGGGATGTTGATCCACAGGTATTCGCAGCCTTGCTACTTGAGAATTCAGGAGGTGGATCAAGGCTTTTACACTTTCTGTTCATCAGTGATCCATCTTGCCCAAGGCTGGGGAGGTGGAGGGCAGAAACACTGGATTTCTTCTCATCTTCAAAGACAGTGAGGAGGAAATTCACTGTATTTTATGTTTGCAGCGATTTGTCATTTTTAGCTCACGCTGCCTCCTCTTTCCACAGCAATGAGTTTGACGTGAGCCCCGTGGGTCATGAGGACATCAGCTTGGCTGACATGTATCGGTGGAAAGTCTCAGCTTATGCTCCCTGCAGCTCCACATGCACTTCAGGTAGGTTTGGCTTCAGGTGACTGATCACGTGAGGTCCTTTTTGGCTGTTGATGGAGAGAATACTGGTATTTTTTTAAAATGACAGCTAGAGTTTCAGATACAGTGAGCATTCCAGTAATGTCATTGTGGTGGGAGGAGGCTTTTGGATCTGATGAAGCCTAACCCAGAGAGGGTCTTGATTGCCCAGCAGGTATCAGCACCTCCTATGCGATGTGTGTCCGGTATGATGGAGTGGAAGTGGATGAAACGTACTGCGATGCCCTAACCCGACCAGAACCTACTCACGAATTTTGCACAGGGAGAGAGTGCCAGCCTAGGTGAGTGGAAATGACATCAGCTGTCCATGGGAACAGCACATCTTTGTAAGGATCACATTCTGCTCAAAGCATACAGACATTTCTGGTCTGGAAGATACACTTAAACAGCTAAGCCCTTGCATCCCCTTGTGAGCAAAAAGAGGGAAGGACTTTGCTGTCCCAATTGCCTGCTAAGGGCAAAGCTGGCTTTCAGGACCAGCCCCCCCTCAATACAGGCATATTTGTGATGAGCAGATTCATAGCAGCATCCTTTGGGTGAGGGAGTCCCAGGTGTGCAGGCACTCCCCAGCCACCCCATGTCCCTTGCCCCCTTACCTGTGTTTTCCTTTGTGCTTTCTCTCCTGGGGACTGCTCGTGGAGGTGGGAGACCAGCCGGTGGAGCGAGTGCTCCAGGACCTGTGGTGAGGGCTATCAGTACCGCACTGTGCGCTGCTGGAAGATGCTGGCTCCTGGCTTTGACAGCTCCGTTTACGACGACCTCTGTGAGTCAGCTGGGCTGGCCAGGCCCATGGAGAGGAAAGCCTGCAAGAACAAGGCCTGTGGGCCCCAGTGGGAGCTCTCCGAGTGGTCCGAGGTAGGCGGCTGGGGGGCTTTGCTCCCAGACATAAGCAGCCAGGGCTGGGCTGGAGCATGGAGGAAGGTGGCTGGCAGATGTTGGGTGCTGAGGAAGCCCCTGGCTGCCTGTGTCCTGGGGAGGCAAGGGCTGGACTGCCTTTACCCCCAGCGAGCAAAGGTCATTGCAAAATATTTTTTCTAAGGTGATTTCTCAAGCAGGATGGTGACCAAATGAAAGTCCTGTCAGTAAGAGGCGCTGCCTCCCTTTTCCCAAGGATTTAATTAAGGATGGATGGGCAAACAGCATGGAGACATAGCGGAGCTAAAATCCAATCAAAATCCCTTTGATTAACTTCCCACAGCCTGCTTGGGACTGGGCCAGTGGAGCTGCCTGGTAACTTTGAATAGCAGTGCAGCCCTCAGCATCTTGGAGTGTTGGAGCTCTAGTAAATAAGCAGCAGAGATAGAGATGGACCCACCTTTTTCTGTCCCTGCTGGGGCCCTTCCCCTGTTCCCTAGTGCAGAAGAGTGACAAAAATGGGGGGAGGCATAGCTGCCTCCCTCGCCTTTACTCAACCCCCTTGCTCTCTGCTTCGGAGCCCCGGGGCTGACTCTGTGTGGCCATTGCAGTGTTCGGCCCGGTGTGGCACACAGGGGACAATGAAGAGGGAGGTACGCTGCTCGGTGGAAGCACCCCTCTGCGATGAGTCCCAGAAGCCCAGCAGCGAGAAGATGTGCACAGGCCCCCCCTGCGACCGCCGCTGGACCGCTTCAGATTGGGGCCCGGTGAGTGCGGAGGGTCTGCTTCTCCTTGCACCCAGTGTGGGGGAGCAGGGCTGGTGGGAGGGGGCAGGTGAGCAGTCATGCTGCTGCTCTCTTTTGGCTTTCTTCTTGCAGAGGCTAAGCTAAAGAAACTAGAATAATCTGTATTTTTGCCTCTCCATGCTGTACATTTTGATTAGCTGTGAGGCAAGGTCCATTCAATAATCTGGGAAGCTCACAGCACCTGGGGAATGGAAGCCCTTGACCAGATGTACCTCTAAAGACCCTTGGGATCCAGTGCCACAGTCCCAGTGACTGTGACCCCTCTGCCTTCCTGCTGTGTCTAAATGCCCTTTATTCCTCCAAGTGCTCAGGTTCATGTGGTGAGGGACGCATGAGCCGCTTCATCGCGTGTCGCAACCTGGAGGGGAAGGTGATCTCTGACTCGCAGTGTGACCCGGCCACCAAGCCTCTGGCTGTCCATCCATGTGGAGACAAGAACTGCCCTGCACACTGGGTGGAGCAGGAGTGGGACCAGGTAAAGCCAAGCCCAGTCCTGTGTCCTCAGCCCTTCTTCCCACACCATATCCCACAGGAGATGGTAGGAGCCTAGCTGCCTTGGTGGAAGAAGGTTGTATGGTGTGATCTCCAGCCGAAGAGCTGTACCCTCATCCTAGCTCCTTGCAGAGAGAGGGAAGAAGCAATAAATACCCAGCTTGTCCCCCACCATACCCTAAAGACCACCCCAAAGTTTGTGCTATTTGCTGCCTTCCCGTGGACCTCCATAGGAGGGCAGCAGTGTCCTAAGGAAACTCGTCCTTCTCTCCTATCTCTGGCTCCCAGCTGGCGGTTGCAGACACCGCAGTAGAGCTCTTCACCCAGAATGTGCACTTACTAGAGAAGATTTTGGTACCACCGCTAAGGAGAAAGCCACAACAAAACCAGCTTCATCTCTGATAAATAATAGCTAGAGATAAACCTGAACCACAGCCCAGATCCCTGCCCTGGAAGTCACCTCCAGAGCATGACTCTGTGCCTGCCTCAGGACTTAAGAGTCCAGTGAACATGGTCTGGGTGCCCCATTCAGCAAACAATTGGTCTCTGCTAATCTGCTTACCCCTTTTCTGTTCCTTAAGGCCTAGAGGCTTTAGGCTTCCCAGTACAAGCTGATCCAAATCCCAGAGCACCCAGAAGGGACGTATTGAGTCAGTTGCGGGGTTTGGGCTTTGAAGTCTTGAGCAAAGTCAGCATTTACAAAGCACTAAGGAAGAAGGTTTCTGCAGGACCAGAGAAGCAGTTAAGCCCTTTCCCCTCCAACCACAGCTAAACCTCCCTTCTCCTTTTGCTGCCTTTATAGCTGTTGACTACATTCAGCTGAGTCTCCCTCCAGCATTGGTAACGAGCACAAACTGGGGACCTGTGGCAGTCTCTGTAACCCTCTCTTGCTCTGGCCTGTGGTGTGGGCCACACGCAATGCTGCAGTGCGGTTTTTCAGCTGTGTCCAGTCTATTAAACTCGCCTGAACTCTGAAAGACCAGCTGAGCTCCTCACCTTTGCGTGTGCCAGCTTCTTTCCCTTTGCTGTGTTCTCTCGGCTGATCAGCTCTGAGTTCGCAGGATGACTAAGGGCGGACGCAAGCCAGCTGTGCTGGCCCTGCCATGGTGAAGAACGGCGCAAAGCAGTGAAATCTCAAACTGGCAACTGCCTCCATGGGCATCAGGGAGCAGAACAGAGCTAGACTTGGATCCTGCATCCTGCTGCTTCTCTTGGTTGTGTCCTGAGAGAGTCCTCCCCACTAAGCCTGCATGGCTTTGGGCTTGGCAGCGCTTGTCCATGCAAATCACCTGCACTGCACCAGTTTGGTCCCCTTGGGCCCATGCAAAGCTTGTCAGTACTCCAAGATGTACATTACCACTCGGATACGCTACATGTTTTTTTTGAGAACGTAGATACGTGTAAAATAAAACAGAAACAGCCTCTTGTAATCTTACCTTGGCTGCTCCAGGTCCCTTGTGGTGGCTGCTCTAAGGGCCAGCCAAGGTAAATTCAGCGTTCCCAGTGCTGGCTGAACACTAATTCCCAGCTCCTGTCCTCACTTCCCATTGCTCCTGTGACCTGGGCAGCACTACTTCTGTTAGACTGGTGTTGGTGCATGCTTTAAGCGCCTTGCTTCCGAGGAGGATGCCATCTTCAAACTCTACAGCTGACGAGCATCATTTGTTACCTGGCTGTTGTGTTTTCTTTCCCAGTGCGATGCCAGCTGTGGGCGAGGGATGAAGACCCGGGTCGTCTTGTGCGCGGGCCTGGAGAACGGTGTTTACAGGGAGTACCCTGAGAAGCACTGCGAAGCCTCGCAGAAACCCGAGGAGCAAGCTGCCTGCTTCAGGAGGCCGTGTTCAACGTGGTTCACCACCTCCTGGTCTCAGGTAGGGCTCGAGGTGGTGGGGAGGGGGGAGAGAAGACCTCATAACCCTGGTTGGTGAAGCATGACCTGCGCTGAGGCTTTCTAGCAACCTCTGCTGCCAAGGGATCTGTTAGGTCTGGATGGAACCATGAGCAGGTTCCATGTGCAGAGCAGGCAGCGGGTGGCGGGACTGGCATGCGGGAGCTGGGGAAAACCTTAGAGCATGTGGATTATTGCCTCCAGCAAGAGCATGCACTGCACAGCACTGGACTGCACTGCAGGCAATACAGCCATGGCTCCTCTTCTGCCAGGAGTCAACGTTCTGCCTTTCCCTGCTTTCCCTTGATTTTAATGGGTGAGCGTTTAGGGAATGGGAGGACAGGGGAAGCTGGTACCAGCTCGCAGCAGACATTTTCTCCATCTTCTATCACAGCATCAACACTCAAGGCAAAAACAAATCTGAGTTGCATTAAAGAGATGAAAGCAAAGTCCTCCCTTGCTCTGCCCCAACCCTGGCAACAAAAGGGGAGCATAAGTTTGAGATCAGTGTGGGGTTTGACCCAAACCTCCCCACGAGCAGTCTCCAAAGTAGGGACCAGGAAGCCTCACTGGAAGAAAGAACTTGGCAACTATAGAAAAGTAAAATAATGCCTCTCACAATTCCTTTCCTCTCTCTCGATCCCAACAGTGCAGCAAGACGTGCGGTGCTGGTGTGCGACTGCGTGAGGTGAAGTGTTACCAGGGGGAAGCGCTGGCTCAGGGCTGCGACCCCACATCCAAACCAGAAGCCAGGCAGACGTGCCAACTCCAGCCCTGCCCCACAGAGGCACCAGGTACGTCTGAGAGGGAGGGGAGCCCTTGGGAGCCCTTTGCTCTGTCCAACTTGCTGCTGGGGAAGCACTTCTCCTTTTTAACCCTTTCTGTGGATGCTTCTGCTCCCCAGAAGAAGACTGTGAAGACAAAGCAACGGCCAACTGCGTGCTGGTGCTGAAGGTGAAGCTGTGCTCTCACTGGTACTACCGGAAGGCTTGCTGCCGGTCGTGTCGGCTCAAGTCACCCTGACCACTGCCAGGCTGCAGTTCCCTTCCAAGTTCAGGGGCAAGAGCCCCCTCGAGCCAGACTTTCCCACTTGAAGCCACCCCACTTGGCTTGGCCGTCCCTGTAGACCAGCCTGCTCAGCGAGGAAGGATTCCTAGGACTTAGTCATCACTGTTCCCTCTCCACCAAGAGGATTTTACGCAAGACAAGACATCCATTCCTAGAATGCTACTGAGAAGTGAGTTGGGAAAGCCGGTCCCTGCTGTTGTCATCTCTGAAGAGCTCTAGTTGGAGGCGGGGGGACACAGAGGCCAGCCCACAGCAGGGAACAGACGGCAGCAGCCGTCACTCTGGTCTGCCCTGTGAATTCTTCTACTACAAGGGCAATTTCCAAAACACACCAAAAAATTCTTGTCATAATAAAGAGCTAAACTGTAAAGCTGTGGGTTTGGGATGCATGTACCTAGGCCAGAGGCAAGGGAGGAAGAGGGACACAAGAGGAAGGAAAGCAGGAGCAGGAAGGGTGGGGAGGAAAAATCCTTGCACCAGTACAGCTTGCAGGCAGCACTGGGTAAACCCCATTTTGTGTTGCCTGGCAAAGAACAGCAACCACTCCTGTTTTGTATTTCAAAGTCTTCGTTTTATTTCCGACACTGAATTTGGACCCGTAGCTGAGCAATAAAGACAGAGAATAAGAACAGGAGGAATCTGAAGTGGAAAAATTTTGGGATCCCTGCCCCTACCCCGTCCTGTTTCTCCAAACTTTAAAACCCACAGTTGCGTCTCCCACGTTTCCAGCCCTTTCAGACTCACCCGTGTCTCTGTAGCCGTGCCAGGCCCAGGGTGTTGTGTTGGCTTCTGAGGACAACCCTCGTCTTGGCCATCCAGCTACTCTGGAAATGCCTCGCCAGCCTTGGCACCTCGTCAGCAGGCAACAGGTCACACTTCATTTGCATGTGATGAAGATGCGGTTGCCTTCCTTTTCCCAGAAAAGTGACTGTCAAAAGCAAATGCCCCCTGTGTTATTCCCACCCTCCGGAGCCCATGGTCCGGCACATGCCGCCATGGCGCTGAGAAGCCTTGCTGCATGCCAAGAGGTAGAGCTGGATGCCAGGAGCCACCGTGCCCACGAGCTGGCTATGTGCCCTTTGAGGGGACAGCATCACAGGGCCGGCTGGCAGAGCACCCACAGGTCACGCTGGGACATACGGACGTCTTGTGGCTCCCAGCAGGATGGAGACCTAGCCGAGCAGATGCTCTAGTGGGAAAGGATGGGATTTACTGATTTAGCCAAGATTTTTTTTCTAGTCACAGACTGTAGTTTCAAGGAGGAGTACTGGCTGTATGGGAAGCAGGAGGAGCTACGGACTGTTGGGCAGTGGGATCCAAAAAGCTTTGCTGCAGCTAACTTTCATCTTCCCTCCTGCCTGCCCTTAACGGGAGAGGACGTTTAAAGACCTGCTATCGCTGTGTGGAGAACGGGAAGGAGACTCCCTAAAAGAGATGCAGGGAGTCTCAGGCTAATGGAAATGTCTTTCTGGGCCAGAGGTGGGGGAGATGGTGCATAACGCTTGCTCAAAAGGCTGGGTGAAACGTGGGCTGGGGTGTCCGGTTGCAAGGACCGTCACCACATGTGGCATTGGTCTGGCTCCTCTTCTTCAGGCAGTTTGAGCAGAGGTGCCAGGGCATGAGTGTAAAGTGTAAATTAATTAGCCTTTAGCCTGATAACGTAGACATTCGAGGCTCACATAGCCTATGCCTCCATGCTGAGACCTACTTTTTCGGTGCACAAACTGGGAGTTAAGTCCAAATCTTCTGTGAGCAGCAGGATGATTTCTAAATTGTGGTGGTTAGGAAAAAAAAAACAACAACCCACCACTCACATTTCTGAGCAGTTGTACCCTGTATTGCAAAGGCACGAAGAATGTTTTCTGCTGTTACTTCCAACAGCATCCGCACGGCTGCGGGGATTGCTGCTGTCCGGGTCCCTCCTCCCTGCCGTGAACGGGAAGCGCTCAGCCGAGCGGTCCTGCGCCAGTTGCTATGGAAGTGCCCGTGAATGATGGAGAGGTCCTTTGAGTAATTTTTCACCTAATTTGATTTATGGAGGAAGAAGGAACTTTCCCACATTCATTTCTGCAGAAGGGCAGAGTCACTGGCTGTCATTACCAGCCGCAGAGCCGGTGAACCCGGGTTTGGGTCTTGCCCCCTCTTCTTCCAAAAGCAAAGCCGGGGGCACTCCGGTCACTGAACATCACTGCCACGGGAGGTCGTGGGCCCTGCAAAGGAGGAGATGTGACCCTCTGGTCTCTGCTGTTGCTGTTGAAAGCAAAATCCGTCCTAAAGCCAACCTTCCTCTGGCTGTCCGGAGCTGTCAGGGTGGGCTGGGGAGGGCTTCCAGCACTGGAGGTGAGCAGAACTGCCGTCATTTAGGGGTGCAACTCTTCCCGTAAGTAAAATCTTGCCATTTTTATGGGTCCAAGTTAAAATTGCTCTAAGAAAGCTTGTGAAGAGCAGAAGAGGTGGGGGTTTCGGCCACAGGAGGATCAGCCCGTGCCTGTTTTGCGTCAGTGAGTGGTTTTGTGAGCAGCTTTGCCTCCCCCGGCGGTGATCTAAATCCATGTCTTGAACTTCTTCAACACGTGCAAAGGCCAAAGCGGGCAGGGGACGGTGTCCCTACACTTGAACACAAAAGCCAGCGGCAACTCACGCAGCATGAGGGGAGCAGGACGATCCCAGATCTTCCCTTCTTCACTCTCCCATTGCCGGGAAGCGCTGCCACTCCTGGCTGAGCGGTGGGACAGCGGGATTTGTCGATGGGTGGTTGCGCATCGCTCTGTGTGCCGGAGGCGGCGGGCATCGGGGACACCGGGGGAGCCTGGGGTAGTTAAATCAGGTTGTACTGTACATAGCCCTCGTTAGACAAGTCCCTTCAGGAGATAGAATAATAATGACACTTATGATGGGCTCGGAGGCGGCTGGTTTAACGCTGCCCTTCGAGGTCTCTCTCGTCTTCTCGCCCATCGAGCTTGGCCGTGCCGGGCGGTTCGGCAGGAGGACGGTGCTGGTCTTGGGCTGGGGTCCTCGCTGCATGACCTACCCTGGCCAAAGACAAGTGAAAAGCCCCTTCCCTGGGCGCGGGGGCAGCCCATGCTTGCAGCGATGGTGACTACACCTCGGTGCTGATGGCCCGCGGGTTGGGGAAGCCGTCGCGGAGGAGGCTGTGGCGGCCCAACGGGTGGCTTTGCAGGGTGGCCATGCTGATGGGCGGCCCCATCTCCTTGTAG